AGTAGTTATTTGTACTGGAAGCACTGACTGACGCTATTTAAGCTCGGTCCTGACTTTGAGCGCTACCTCTCTTTCAAGACTGCTTTTAGCAAGGATTCCTCCTCGACTCCGGTAAGGCAGAGGAGGAGGTGGAGGAGTGTGCGGTTACGGGCAGTGGTTAAGAAAAGGTCGTCTAAAGTCAAATTCCCTACCTTCCATCCATCCCAAGGGGCTGAAAATTCAGTTGAGCGACCAAAACGAGGAGAATGTGTTTAGTGGCACTGCTTCAACTGGAGATCATCGTTGATATTGTCATAAATCAACAAAACTTCGCAGTCAATGTGGTCAAGTAGTTTGAAATTTGGACAAACCAAACTATAGAAACACTTTTTGGCTTCGATGCTGTACGCTTGCTTGGTGGTACGTCTATCGAACCGTGGTGGAAGCGTCTCATCACTTCTTCACCACATGAGTCCACTTTTCGTCCTCAAACTGCATCACCTTCAAGAAGGTCTTGGAGAGCAGTAGTAAAGTGCAGATCCGAGTTCCAAATTTTGTACCACAAAGGACGACATTTGTTGTGGATGACAGTGCAATACCTTGCTGATTTTAACTGCCTGTTTGACTGGCTGTCACTATTGCATTTGTTTTGCTGTTGGCTGTGTGGATTGACCTTTGGGTCAAGCCAACGTCTGACCCTTTCCTCTCCTCTCTGACAGTAAGCATTCAAAATAAGTATCTCAAATGGAAAGTCAGGGAATGCTACACTAGGGAGAGAGGAAAGCCAATCTGACTAAGTTGTGGCCTTCCATAGTGGTCATCACCGCTTATGGAAAGCTTTTACGGCGTAAAATGAAGTGCACGCCTTGGGCAGGAGGAGTTCTCAACTCTCCACAACGAAAAGGCTAAAAATAGACGTCTACAATTGGCATCACCTGAAATGACACCACCGTGGACTATTTGGGAGAGCATCGTTTTGTGATGTCATTACACTGACCTCCTTCCGCACGAGACTGGGTTGGATCTCCTTTCCCTGCCCTGCATCAGTTTTGGGTTAATGCTTTGATGTGTCTCCCATTGGACACAACTGATAGTCAACAGAAGAATGCTGTTCTGAAGCTGCTGAGAAGACCAAGCACAGCCCTCAGTCTTATGGGGTCTGAGGACTGAGGGGGTTGGCTCATCGGTGCTTCCTTGCAAATGCGCAAAATGCTACGATGGCTGGTGCAGGAGAGGGGTATTGTAATGCTTTGTTACTTCCACTACCTGTACGATTGATAGTCTCTTTGATGCTCAAATTGCTTTTGATTGTATGGACTGGCCCTCGAGCCAAGCCAAAGCCCAGTTCCTCGCCTTCTTCACTTGCCTTGACAGTAACAACACTTAAAAACGTCTTCTTTGGGAGGGCCGTTTATTTGATTACCATCAATTCTTCTGCATCTCAGCTGCCCTTCGACACAAGGTAAGTGCACGTCTTTTGCCGGCGCATCCAAAACCCTTCTCGTATGTGGCAGAGCTTCAAGTGCTCCCATTTTTTATAGCAGTTCGATGACCGATACAGTCGTTTTGAGGGTGTTTTCCTTCCACCTTCCACCGCATTCCTTTGTATGGCAAGAGAGGTAGATCAAGAGGAAAGGGTAAAGCGTGACCAATCGTCAGACGGAAGGTCGCAGACAGAGGGCGATTTTATGCTTACTTTTCACCATTTGACTCCAAAGTTTGCTACACTGCCAAAATCCTGAACAATAAGCTGCGTTGTTGGGGAATTTCTATGCACCGCCATCACTTACTGAAGTCTTCAATTGGCGAATACCAAATTAGACTACAAATGTCACCTGCCAGGTCACTTGTGTCAGCCTCCACCAATCTCTACTTTGACACTTACTTGTCATGATTGAGTGTCACTTAGTTGTGATCCAGAGGTTGAAGCTAGACGACCAGAGGGGCAAACATGTCACCTGTTGCCACAATGCATGGTGACGTTGGGCTCAGGAGTTGCGCAGAGGAGAGAGGGAGACGATTTAGTGATCAAGTGGTAGGAAGTTAGCCATCTTCAAGGCGAAGAAAGACTGCGCGCTACTTACTCAACCTCTTTTCCACTTGCCCTCCTCAGCCGAGGCTTTTTTTTTTAAGTCAGGGTTGTTTAATTTACCATTACGCCTGCATCAAATCTTCACCGGAGCCAACAATGAAAATGGAAAAGCACGCCTTGAAGGGCGTTCGAGGCTGTGATGCAACAGCTGATTCTCTGAGCGTTAATGGAATGGGTCAAGTGAGTGGCAAAACGAGATCAGTGGGGAAAAGGTTTATCACTTTGATGAAATGACAGGTTCGAAGCCCTCCAACACATTCGCTTGGCCTAATTTACCAGCAAACACAATTGCTGGCAGCGTGGAGGAGCCATGCAGGATTGCACCCATCATATCGAGCTCCACTGCATGTGTCTTTAAAGGAGGTGGCAGTAACTATTTTCCAGGTAATTAACAATATCAGAGGATTGGTATTAACGACAAGAATGTTAAGTTGTATAGATTGTATTGTAGCATGATTGCTTTACTTATGTATGCATGTACTGCGTGTAAAGTACGCCGAATCCTGTGGTTTCACCGTTCTCAGTAACATTGTAAGTCCTATGTTTCGGTCGAGGCGCATCGACGTCAATAGACGAGTATGAGGATTTGTGAACAACCAAAAGCCAAACAGATGCAAAGCTTACTGAATAAGGAAAAGACAAGGTGACTAGATTTCCATTTTTCTCAGCTCTCAAGATTGGATGAATAAGAGGAAGGATTGTTTCACTGCCGTGACTTCTTTTTACTTTTTACAAACGCATTAATAACACTTAAGTTCAACGTCCATTTGGTCCTAAAATTACAAAAAAATCATCCAAACCAACGCAATTATCCGGCTTATTTGATAGGAGCACTGAATCGTGGTTATGAGATCTGTGTGGACATTATGATTGCCAGACCTGTATTTGTCACGTTCAGGTTATACATACAATTGTAACCACTTCCAGTAAGTGGTAAGCAAAATTGTCCAAAATGACTCATTCCTGCCATGTTTTATATTTTGCCTCCTATTGCGATATCGCATCCCAATGCGTTGCAGGGCAAATACATGCATTGGAAGAATTTACCTACTTATTAATTTAAGTAGAAATTTATATTACCGAATTTAAGATGATAACATTTGAGGGTATATTGATAATTTTAGTCCTTTCTTTAGCTCTGAATAAGACTCCTTATACATAAGGTCAGATCTGATTAAGGTAATCAACGAAATATCATGGCTGTGCCAACTGCCTGCCAAATGCAGCGATCCAAGCTCTTAATGGAACGATGAGATGCGTTCATTTGATTGAACGATGCCGCATTCTGAATAGAGGAACGCAATCAAGAGAAGACAACAAATGGATGAACCTGCTGGTTTCCGCTAATGGCTTGTCTTGTTGGTTGGCATTCTTCGGCAGTATTTGGCGTGTAAAATGCATGCCCATTAAGATCCTCACAGGAGCCTTTACAATGATTTTTGAACTGCGGACAGTTATAATCAAGCATTCCTTTCAAATGAGACATTACAAGCATCATCTACACCTGACATTTCATTTCACATCTCACAGTACCCAGAAAACATTGCAAGTGCTTGGAGGAGGCAGCATCGCCTACCACACTGCCCAGATGTTGATGCTTTTCTACGGTGAGGTAGTTTGGTGACAGGGTAAGAACAGAACTTCATTCCAGACGAATTGCTTACTTTTGGAGGCGTGTTCTTACGTGAAAGAGAACAGAAAACTTCAAAATGACCATCTGTCAAACTTGTTATCGAAGCGTCAGGATCGAACCCACTTTTGTGCTCTCCTTAATTTTAATGATGCAAGTAAAAGCAAACTGCTGCATAAATTGCGATGAGCGTCAATGGAAGGACCTCTTCCACGCTAGACACATTATTGGGCGTCTCAGTATCGACCATTCGAAACAGGAGGATCAGCGGTCAGCAGAAATAATGCAAGGAAAGGCACCCTAACAGTAGAGTTACACAACGACTTGAACTTCACTGGTGTCTATTCAACACATCAAAATCTCGCGAACCTATGAGCCTTATACACCTTCCACTGAAGCCACAGCCATCGAGTACAAATTTCCTGTTCAGTGGAAATCCTCAGTTCTGTCGCAAATCTCCATCCATTTCACTTGAAGACCACACAGAGGAGTGATGGCTAACAGCGTCAAGACCCGTAATAACGAAAAGACGGAGTTCCCAACTGTTAGATGAGGGTTGTTTCGACCATTCATCTTGACCCTACAGACTTCTCCAGTCGTCTTCAAGTAAGCCCAACTTACGATCGAGAGTGGAAACCAGTCTTCCACACTGTCACAGAAGCTAAAGGTCAGGAAGTAGCCAACAGGAACGGCGGTCTACCACCTCCTGTCCTCCCTTTTTGCAAACAGCTTTTCAACGGTAAATAAGAAGCACAAAAAAGCAGTTTATTGACAGTTCAATGATAGTTCTCAATGAATAGTAATCTCGTTCGTCATTTCAAGTGGTTCATTTGTCAGCCTTAACATCACCGTGCTTCGCGGGGTAGACTCTTGAAGGAAGTATGGGCTTGGAAACCGATGACGTCTCATCCACACCCTTCTCCGGATTGATTGACTTGAAAATCGCTAAAGCCTGTAGTAAAACAAGAGGGTGAGGACATGCGTTAAGATAGACAAGAGCCAATTTGTGATGGGCATAATTTTAGGGTTCGACAAAATCAATCTGTCAATGGACGGACAAGGAAGAAAGCAGAAGGAGGACCCACCTTCGCCACCATTGTGGAGACATCTCCAGTCTCAGTAGGTAAAAGCATGGTGTTGTTGGTCTTCGCCAACTTACTAAACGCGTCAATGTAGCGCTCTGCAATTGCCATTTGAACTGCGTCAACACCTTTCTACAAATTCAAAAAAAACGTCCAAAAACACATTTGTAACCGTTAGCGCGCACCTTCACCAAGGTGCATGCTTTTTTGTTGAAAAAAGAGGCCAAATATACCTAACTTTTGCTTTGTCAAATGCAACAAAAACCTCAATGCCTGAGTCGACACCTCAACTTCAGGGGAAGATTAGAGCAAGCTAAATGTTTAACGGACGGAATGTATTTTAATAACTGTCAAGTACCTCTCCGGCAATAGCACTGGCGATTACCCTGACAGCGTCCGCACGAGACTGGGCCAGTCGCATGATCGCCTCGGCCTCACCTTGGTAAAATCGGAAGACAGATGCAGAGTAATCGAAGAGAAGAGAAAGGCTCCACCTCTGTCCACCAGGCCGTGCCAGCAGCCTCCAGCAATTTTATACATCGACAATTCACAGCCTATGCTGGTATTACGACCTCACTTATCCCCAGGACAGACTTGGTAAAGCAAGATACTTTATAATTGATGCTCCTATCGCCCAAAAATCGTTTATAGCACAATTACCTACAGGCTTGCACGCTCAAGAGAGTGACTTGAAGTCGATGTCTGGTTAATAATAACGCTTAGGATAGGGCAGAGCTCGCGGCAACCCACAACGATGACCACAACTAATATGTCAAGGCTTGATAACAAAGACGCAACACAAAGAGCAAAATCGAGTAAGTCAAGGGGAACAATGTGTAAAAGGCCACGATAAAAACGGTTTATGTAACTACACGAGTTTGCAGGCAGCAGAACCTCATCCGCTCATACCAGGAACTCACAATGGGTGACACAGTCACTGAATCAAAAAAATTTTGCCTTGTAAAACAAAATCCACACATAAACTTCGGCCTTCCGCTAGTTACAATTTAATAAACTAGTAGTGTGATAGACAGCCCAAAGAGTTGCTACAGAGCGGTTGGTATAGCGACTTAAGTGATAGCATGAATCCAAGCCAAAAAAGTAAAGCAAGTGCTAATTCACTTTGTGAACTAAGCCAAGCTAAGTTACACAAGAAACCCCGTGTAAATGAAAGGGAATGAGGAAGTAAGAACTCACCGGCAGCCTTGTTTACCGTCTCCACACGCTGGCCCTCGGAGGAAAGGATTTGACGTTGTTTAATGCCCTCAGCTCTATTAATCTCGGCATCGCGCTGCCCCTCGGACTCGAGGATAGCCGCGCGTTTCCGTCGGTCCGCCTCCACCTGCATTTGCATTGCGTCCTTAATCTTTGCTGGGAGTTGAATGTCGCCTGAAGAAAAGTCACCAGCGCAAACAAGACTTCAGAGCGAGGCTTATGAGAAGACGGTCGTTGAATGTGACGAGACACCTTCAGCCCAATTCCTCATACAATTTTGCCATTAAGTAAAGTGCCTTAACTTCCAGTTAAATAATTTAGTCAGGATGGGGAAAAGAATTAAAAGCTAGTCGAAAGGGCGATGTTAGCAGGTGATGTGTCAATGTTCTCTAGTTGCACTCGCTAGAGGAGAAAACGTATTTTCCTTCAGCACGATTGCCTCGACTATCGCCAGAACAAAAGCCCGAATGGGCTTGAATTCCACTTATCAAGTTCAGGTAATGCCTCACAATCTAAGGAATCGAAATAAGACTAAAGCAGATTGCAAGAGAGCAGTGTCTTGATAACTGGACAGGATAGGGCAGGTTACATCAGATGATGGAGCAATGATGAAATTCCCTCTTTTCTACAGTGAACAATGATTTTGCCAAAAATTGCATTAATTTACCGATAAAGCAAATGCATTGACTTAGAGCGGACAATCAGAGAACAACTGTAAGGACAAGTATAAACGACTGCAATAATTGACCTGGCAAATAGGGAAGCCGTTCGCAACCAAATACATAGACAAAAGGAAACTTTATAGAACCTACGTATCTCGTATCGGAGACACACAATACCCCAAGGCTCAGAAGCTTTGCAAATGGCTCGCACAATACTATAGTTAAGTGCCTCACGCTCCTTGAATACGTTGTCGAGGGGTATTTTTCCTATCTCCGATCGCATTGTAGTTTGAGCTAGCTGAAAAAAATATCAGTAGTGATCAGAGTGGTACTCTCCGTTCCTCCAAACAGAGTAGAGGACAGTGAACTCCGTTAAGATGCTTTAAAGCAAACAGCTATGAAATGAAATCTGAGACGATTTATTACCTGTGTAATTGCGAATTCTGCATCCTCAACCCCATATGAAGCTTTATAAGGATCCATCACCTTAAGAAATAGGACCCCATTCAGTTGTAGCACGACGTTATCTAAAAACGGAATTGCTTCAAAGAATGCCGGGGCAAGCATTAACGTAGGAACAATCTAAAAAGACCTGTACCTGATGTAATGGCTGCTTGATCAGGAATGTCGATAGCAATTTCTTTTAATGATTGAACGTAGGCGATTCTGTCCACAAACGGAATGCAAAAATTCAGACCCTACATCAGGTTTCCATGTCAAATTGGGTTAGTGTAACACTCACCGGGCTGAGAACAGAATGAAACTTTCCTAGACGCTCTATTATCCATGCTTGGCGTTCCGGCACAAATAAGATACCTGTGTTAATTGGTGTCCTGTAGCTTCGTGTAAATGCCGCTAACTACAAAAGAGCAAAACAAAACAGAATTAGAAATATTCCTCCCGATTAATAACAGCCTTCATGCAATGTCACGCATTAGAGTCAAGCATGATTTGCGTAATCAAAAACCGAGTAAATTAATCAGCTAAGAATAAGATGGCAAGTCTTAAGCATTATGCTCAGTCTAGAAGTCATCCGAACAAAGAAACCCCAAGTGATTCGAGTTACACTGAGTAACTTCGGTTGTCGCAGTAAAGTACGGGAGGAATTCATAATCGCGTCCCAGGCTAAAGTGACAACAAGGTTCAGAAGCAAATCGGAATGACCAATGAAGAAACTACTTTGCCTTGGAGAGCTGCTCACTCGTACATTAAGCGACACTGCAGGAAGCTTAATGCCACATCTCGCATTAGGGTAAGTAGATTAAGGATAGCACGAAAGAAATTTGTGCTCCAAATTAGGCCCAAAATGTTAATAAAATGCACAATGGGCCTCTGATTTTTTTAGTAACAAACATAAATGGTTGTTTTTGTTTGTAGGTCTATGCTTTTAAAACGATAAGGGTCGATGCACTTACTGCCAGTTTGTTTATAATTTTTTTATTCTTACTAAAGCCGACTTCGCATTGGCATTACCCTTTAAATATCCTGTTCAGAAAGGCCATGCTTAAGAGGTCATGAAAGTTGGAGTTGATTGGTCATTGACGTTCTGTACTGTTGTGAACTTTAGTGCATATTGTTTCTGTCACGCTTTTGGGGTTGCGCGTGATATTGGTAGTGCTCGTGTAATTTTTCCGAACGAAGTTGCTCAAGATTTGTGGTGCGTTGCAATTTTGGTTTAGCCCAGCGAGTGGTTTGCTGCCTTCAAGCTTTGTTTGCTATCTATTTTTATTACTTGTCCTAGTGACTTCTGCGGTTTAGTGTACTCGGTTAACACTAGTGCTTCTTCTATGAACAATGTGTTGTTTTTCAGGTGGCACAATGAAGGACAACCCGGATGACTTTTCACGGGCAATATCCGAGTACATCCGTGGTGAAACGAGGAAGATCGACTTTCTAGTTAATAGGTTAACGATGTCTGAGGGTTCCCTCACCAATGTAGAATTATTCATTGATGACTGCCTTCGTCATAGTCATGAATTTCCCGAGAAGCTTGCAAGTGTTTTGTGCAACATTCTTCTTCAGTCCAAACCGTGGTATTCTTTTAATCTTAGCACGTCTACCAAATGTCTTCTCCTCCTTGTCAATATGGCCACTCGCTTCGATAAACTTGCACAACATTTGCTCTCTCACTTTTGTGATATTATTTGCTTCCCCTCATCGTATCGACCCCCAGACGATGGCGTTGATAACGTGGAATTAATCCTCAGTGGACTAAGAGAACTCTTGCCTTTAGTGCCACAATTCGAAGAGTTCTTCGTTGATTGCCTGTGTCAGAAGTTCCCAGGCTGGGGTGGATCTGCACCGCAGTTATTCTCTGCTCTGGTAAACGCTCTCAGACTGTGCTGTGACCCGCCATGCCTTTTATCCAACACTTCTGTTCAACGGTTACTTTGCTTCTGTTTCAGTCTCCTTTGTGATATCGAAATCAACACTGAATCCATAGCATTATTTTCTTCGCAAACGGAATCACTCTTTTCCAAACTGAAGGATCCATTTAATACCGATGAATTTGAGGAAAACAAAAAAATCATTCTCTCGTCTCTCACTGATAGTTTTCCTTCGTCAGTTCCGGTGTTTTGGCTGCTAGTCGTGAGTCTGTTGAAAATGTTCCCAAAAAGGAGGGAGCCGGCGATGGATAAGACTGCGAAAAAAGAGGAATGGTCTCACATGTGTGCTGTATTTAGGGATCTTCGTACTCGTTTCTTTCAGTCTATCCTACCCATTCATTCAGACTTTGTGGCATATCCTCTGCTGCTTATCTTCATGTCGGGTCTCCGACCAGGTCTGATTGTTAATCTGGTGGAGAAGTTCTGGGCATTCGTTATAGATACGAAACAACCAGATGAGGTGCGGGTCAGATGCATGCGACATCTGGCTGACTACCTAGCTCGGTCGCGTCATTGTATTGTGGGAGTTGTTGTTGAACAACTGCACGATTTAGCCGCATGGTGTGTCGAGTACACCTACTTCAGGAGAGGTCGATTATCATCACACTTCGAAGTGATGCTTCGAGCTCACAGACTATTTTATACGGTGTTTGAGTCGATTATATATATTCTTACATTCAGGCAGGCGGAGCTCATTGGAGTGTCTAATCAGCGACATTCTTGCTCAGATCTGCCCTTGGGTCAACTGATAAACTGTCCTTTAAAACCCTTAGCGGCATTGGAACCGTCTTTAAGATCGCATTTCCAAACTCTTTCTTTCGTTTACAAACTGAGTTGGATCGCCACCATGATGCCTGAATGTCCAACTGAGGTGGACCTTCCTCCGAAACCTTCTTTTGATTGTCCATTATCCCGCGCTCTCGCTGCCCTCCCCTTTACAGCTCGTATGAATCTGGTTAACAATTATATCCCGGCGAAACGAACACTTAAAAGGCCTCTCGAAAATGGCGATGCACACTCATGCTCTCCTATCTCCTCCAGTGATGAACGTTGTGAACATCAACAGGCTACAAAAAGGGTGGTATCTCCAAAACCACAACATTTTAATTTTAGTGCTCTGTTAGATTTGATTTGAAGCTATAAAAACGTCCTCTTGGTGTCCAGCTCTAATGTACATAATCACAATGATGGTAACAACGCTTGCTTTGTCCTTGTTTGAATGGGGCTGTAGATGCAGTCTTAGGGTCTACTTTTCTCGATTGCATCATTATTTGACTTGTGCTCCGGGGGTGGATTGGAGTGATGATTTCTGTGCATCTGTTGGAAGAATGAACTTTCGCTCCAAGAGGAGGTACGCTTTGATGAGATCCGTCTCGGGCTTCTCGATGTTAGAGTCAACTGTTTTGATGATTCCTGTGACACTTCATGCTCATCTTCAGTTCGTCGCGCTCTTACATTCGTGGTGCTTACTGCATCATCAGCACTGGTTTCATTATCGGATGATCCTCGCATAGTGGACATGTTAGTTGGTCGGACCTTGGTTTTTTTCGAGGTGTACATCACTCCAAGGTATACCATTTGCATTACATTTACTATTATACATAAACAGCAGTTGAGTATGTAGTTAGATAGAGCATTAACAATGTTAAGTTGATACTGTGCCTCGACACATCGAGTTGTACCGTGACTATCCATTGCAAAAGCAGTCATAATCGTGTTAAACTTGCTTGCAACTGAAGCATTATGGAATGTCCGACTGTTCAGACATCTTTCCCACTCCCAATTCAAATTAATAATCGCCTCCCACGGGGTCACAATATTTTGCTTGGATGTGCAATTTCCACGATACGTGCAGGCGAGTGTCGATCGTAGTGTTGAACTGAAAACATTCCTCCAAATGACGACCCCACTTAGGCAGGCGCAACAGGCAGTTAAACTACACCAAAATTGGTAGGTGCCGGCAACAAACATGCGCATGATAGCCGTCTTACTAAGATCATTTTGACGAAGAGGTTTACGACCAAGTAGAATGAGTACACAGGAGATGTGGAGGCAGGCATTAATAGCGCCACCAACAACAGCTAGGTGGATGCTCTGAAGGGGATGCGGATAGGCTGTGGGAACATTTCCCAAATGGAGAGAGGCAAAAGAGTCCACTCCGTGAAAGTAGAGAATGAGATTTATCAGGAAGTAGATGCTTACCAATTCCTGGAAAAAGTAGCCAAGACTAAAACCAGCACGCACAATGAAAAGCATTGAAAATTTCGTAAACCACAGTAAGTCAAGTTGATTTGACGACGTGAATAGTTATTACAAATGAGGAATGCACAACTATCTGTCAAATGCAAATCACCCCACACCAATTACTCACTAAGGCTTTTGGATTCAACAATCCTGCGACTAATTCGTACACTTAAATCGTAGCAAGCTCTCCAAATTACTAATTTTTTAATCAGAAGATAGGACGAAATTGGAGTCCCAGGTTTTATTGGACTGTAAAGAATCTTGCCATCTTGGTATCAACACTCTAAATAATTGTAGCTGCAGGTGGATGATTGCCTTACCTTTCCTCAATTTTAAAAGGCCATTGGTTATAGTGGTAATTAGTTATGTGGAGCTGGAAATTCAAAGCAATCGCATTGTCATTCTTATGATCAAAACTTAAAAACCTACAGCTTAATAAAATAAGTGGCTCTTTTATTTATCGATTAAGGATGCAAAGTCTGCACTAAAGGAAATCGGACAGATGGGGATGAAGTCTACTAACGTATTCTGCTCCTTCACAACGACAAATTCAGTTCTAATCTTTTTGTGTGAGCTAGATTTCCTAAAGTAGGATGAACATGGCACCTCATAACAGGGACGACTTGTTCCCATAGTTGGCGCGACTATACCTTGTCAACTTCCGTTTTCTTTCGATGAGCGCCTTGGCTTTTCACTATTTCACATTTACAGGAGCTACTACTGGCCGGCCACGTCACTACTTCCCATCTCATTTTGCCTTCTTTCGTCTTGAACCTACAGTTTTCACAGCGAAATTTGAACTTAATCATTAAAGAACAACAATAAACGTTTCCACTTTCGGATGAATGAATGAATGAACGTTTTAGAGGTGAGTGGCATTTTTAATTACTAGAAACAAAAGGACTGAAGATGCCCAGTATCATAATCCGAAGGAGAGCATTTGAAAGTGCTTAGAACTATATGCGGCACACCTATGTGTGGGTATGTGAATAAATGTCACCTACTCTATCTCCCTTCAAGCTGTCAAAAAATTAATGGCCACGGTTGAGCGGATTCGGTGGGATTAGTAGACCCGTCTGCGAATTTGTCTTTGCTTTTGGATCGACTTTCTATCGGGTGACTTCGACCACGCGTGATTAACTTCGCTTCCCAAATCCCAAACCAAGTTCCTCTGATGAATGAGGCTCCCAAAATAAACCGGTGGTGTCGTGGCCAAGCATCACCCCATCAACACAGAAAAAGCTGATGGCCAGTACGAGCAACGCCATCGCCGATTGCGCTGTGATAGCTAATAAGGGAGGGTGACTCAAAGAGCGTTGAGAACGATGCTTAAAAGAGGACGACCATGCCGTGAGCTGACGATCAACTACTAGTCGTAATGAAGAAAACACCTCTCTCCAAACCTTGTTCATTTCCTGAGCCCTCAAGTACTACTCACACTCCGTCTTCATGAACTTTCAACACCTTATAACGTCCTCATTGCCTTAAAGAGGTTAAACGATCGTTAACAGCAGTTCTTTGCAAGTAATATTCACGCCGGACGTAAAACTAAGCTTAGGCGTGAGACACTGAGAAGTGAAGGCAAAGTCTCGGCCTCAAAGAGGAGATGAACTATTTCTGGACGCTCGTCTGGTTATTGGAACTGGGAAGACCCTGTGGGTTCCAAAATACCTCAAACCCGTAAGTTAATGGGAGACCCACCTGCCTTTGACAGCTCACCTTGGCACTTATTCAAATCGTGCTTAATTTTATTGACATATGAGGTAGAATTACTCTGTAAAGCCATCAACTCATGTGCTGAATAAGCCAAGATGGCCTTTAACGCGGACGTATGAGGTGTCATAAAGAGAACTTCCATCCATGTAGAACGACGTACAAAATGGTTGTAATGAAGCAGTATTGTTCTCAGGGACTAAAAACACTTAAACGACCTGAAGCGAGTCATCCATGAAAACAGAGGACGAGTCAGAGATCTAGTGATAACTTGAAATGATAACTCTTAAACATCGACACACCTTGTGGAATAAAATGTTTCGCCCCCTTCAGACCGATGCATATTAGCGAGGACCCACTCCAGCAGTAGTTCTACAATAGCATGCACAAAAAGGCGAATAATGCAACCGATAGCATCTCGTGGGGCGCTTTCTCACCTTTCCCGTTTCATCATATACAGCCGCCCTTCAGCCTCTTCAAAGATGAGTCGAAATGAGGTCTCGACATACCCCTGTCCTGATAATGACGCAGACAGGATGGTGCAATTTCCGAGTCCATCATGCACATCCATAGATCAGAGGCAGCTTCAGAGGACCTTTGACCCTCCGCAGAATTTGTCGCTCAAATGATTTTGCGTATTTTAAGCTCAGTACTCCAATAGGGCTTCCAATGCAGCGAACTTGGCCCCCTTTTCCGCTACGCCCAACTTTTCAAACTACACGTGTTAATGTTCAAATAATAGCAGCGCAGACAATGCCAAATCAATGATAGAAGGATTGAACCATAAAAAACCAGAACAAACATCATCGTAATCTTTACAACAAATAAAATATCGAAAGTCTGTACGTGGAACCAAAACACAGAGACAAGATCAAACAACTCAACACACCAATGAATCAGACATTTCGTCTTCCGTAAAGTAACAAAATGACCAAATCGAAAAAAAAACAAAACAATTGCGATAGATTACACGCTATTGTTACAAATTAGGTTGTCAAAATTAAAACTGTAAGTCGATATAAAAGCACGAATCACTACAACCACCCACCCAAAAGTGGACGTTGGAAAAAAGGTACAACTCTGCTTCAATAGCAAGCACGAGGATCTCAAAAGGTGAAGCGGAAGTTAACTTGTAGCAGCTTTCAATGAAAGACGGTAGATGGAACACACATCAACCACGAATGAAATACCATATAAAATACATGGCTACTAATGTTCCCCCAGCAAGGACATAGAATAGCACTTTATCTTGGTAGCCTCGGCGTTGAATAAGGCGCATCACGGTGTATGAGAGACCCAGAGTGTTCACCAGATCAAGCAGACGTCGATGCGAGTTCTTAAGTGTGCTTCTGAAATGGAATAATGCTAGTTAGTACTACTTCCTTTTGAAATATCCAATAGTCGGTTAAATTAAAGTAGCATTGCTGCTCCATAAATTGGCCCACTTACCCTTGAAATTTGAGGGCTTCAAGACTGGCAGAACCACCGAGAAGCATTTCGTCCAGTCGTCTGCCGACTGCTTGGAGTCGAGAAAACTCATTTACCTCGGTGTCAATTTGTAAGACAGTGGCATCACCATTGCTAGCGGTGGTCACACCCACTGGAGGGGCAAATAGGCTAGCTCTGTGTATCAATTCTTGTTCATGTGCTGCTCTTAAAGGAAAAAAAACTGCATGTCAATTTTGGCATTCTAGATACATCTTTCTCCTAAATTCTACTAGGCCTCTCATCCAAGGAATCTGTGGTTGGAGTAAAGTTGTCCCCACCGAAATCATAATGATGATAGCATTCACTATAGCTGCACTAAAAGTGTGAAGTCTGGTAGGCGTTAATTATGAATCACAGGTTTTGATGAAATCACCATTCTAGATTATAAAAATGGCAGCGAATGAAACCAGAAAGTAAGCCCCTGTCAAGACTAGCCAGACATGACAAGCATGAATTGTAAACCTCAAATAAGACATTTGAGGATATGGTTTGAACAGAAAGTTAGTTTCGTCAAAAATAGGAACAACGTCATACACTTTACACAGACATTAAAAAAGTAATCAATAGAAGATTGAGATACAAAGGTGATGTACCGCTTTCTTTGGAGAGACTGTAAATTATTGCGAAGGTGCTGACAATCCGATTGGATATGATTCACAGCCAAATCGATTTGCCTCCGTTTGGATGGCGGTTCATTTCTCGACAAAACTCGTAGTCGCTGACAGTTAGACAAGGCCTAGAGGAAAAATTTCGTTTCAATGAGGCAACAAGAAGTACTAGTAAATGGAAGGTTTAGGAGATGAGAGAAGCAGTATAAAGAATCAAAAGACTTTAACATCCCGTTCGGAAAAGCCTAAGGGCCTAGATGGGCGTCACCAGAGCCAAATTAACCTAATACTTAGGGATTAAGAAAGGCATTGCTTCCTTCACGACCCCAAAGTAATCAGACAAAATTAAAAACACTCGACAAACTATGTGCAAAATGAAATAAACCAACTCACGAGATCAAGGTTTTGTGAAATTTGACTTTCCATGCGAGTAATTGGTGCTTTGGCAGCATCAACGGAGTGCAGGGAGCGAATTAAATGTTCTAGTTCGCAGAGGTCCTGAGGAACCTTTTGTACGATAGCTTTGGTACGGAAACAGAGGTCGTCCATAGTTCTGCAGTGTTCAATGTAACAATGAAGTAGTTTTGAGGTTCGCAGTGTGCTTATATTCAAAGCAGATGAACGTCGAATTAATTTACACCAGTGTGTTTGCAAACATTCACAACACAAAAACGCAAAGTCTTCATTTTACGTAACCGAAAAGAATAAAACACCGGCCAGAGAAAGGGTCATGAACAAACTTTGATAGTACATACAAAATTGAATATACTAAGCATCCCAGACCAAGCTAATCTAAGCGTTATTATGGGATCTCTTACATAAGATTTATAATTACCGTCCCTAGATGCTGGCGGAGCAGGGTCCCGCCACACTATACGACGTAACCTGTAGAGCCCCAAGGAAGCATATCGAGCACTCCTGTTTCAGATTAGACAAACTAAATAACGTAAACTAATAAAATGTAATTAATGAAAAAAATACCTAGTCACGATTATCTTAAGGCGGTGGCGAAAATTATCATTCGCGAGACTTTATTACGATCTATTAATGATTATTAGGGAGCAAGAATTTCCTTTCATTTTTGTCGGAAACATGGCTAGCGCGATAATGTTTACTCTAGTAAGCCACCACAACTTACGAGGTGACATGCACCAGGGTCATCGCCATATAGGCTTCCTAAATGTATAAATGATTAGTACCAACCGTAATCTGATCACTCACTATTTCAGGGAAACTGCTCATACTTAGTTCTACTAGAAAACCATCTTCTACCAAAACGCCAGAAACCTTTGTAATACCTTGTCTACGTTACTAAAATACGCCTGGCAGTCACTTTAAGGTTAGTCCAGCCCTTGTGCGCGTGGGCTGGCCTTCTGGACTTGCTTAGGCCTAATCACCTTGTTCCCTTGGGATTTCATATACACAGCTTCAGTTACTGCATACTTCCACCCATTGGAAAGTCTTCGGACGCTACAGCTTTGATTAAGATTATCTGTTTATACTTCAAAATGCGGTGTTCTATGCACATTTCTTCGTTGTCTGTTCCCTAACAGCTTGCATGACTTTTCCTAATAACTCGAGTTCGACTGTTTGCAAAAGAAATCAGGCTATGCCTCCGTCGACGCCACCCCCACTGTGTACTATGCTTAAAACTAGCTCAAGGAAGTGATTGTGGTTTCGGGTGTTTAACTGAGGATACAGAGGTTACGAGACCTTCACCATTTTCATCATATCTTAATAAGGCTCAGTTACTTAACCGTCTAATCAATGACGCTGACGTCATCTGCAGCGCTCTTTTGGTCTGCCCCACTGACCCATTTAAGTGCTCTTAGCTCACACATTTGTGGCATATCGGTATTGGCGACAGGGAAGTACCTCATTCACTGACCAATGAGTGTGCAGACATGTTTGCAGGGTTGGGAGGGTAACTGGGACAAAATGGCTTCGTCGAGTATGCAATCAATATCGATGAGGCGAAGCCAATGGGTCAACCAGCTAGAGCCATGTGGCTTTTTCTTCCGAACTCCTTTAAAAAAATATATTTTATTTCCTGATTGCCGAGTTATTCAAGTGACCTTTGTTTACTTTGTTGTGAGTGATAGAAAATTTACGTCAGCCTGGGGCAGTGTGTTATCTATGGATAGTCGTACCTCGTGGCTGGGAATGATGCATTGTTTTACATTCTCTGTGCGGTTCCAACTTGTCCCTTGTTCTGTTTTTAACGTCCAGGGTAACATGCAGGTATCACAGAAACAGATGAATATAAGACAGCGTTTACGACGCCAAACAAACTTTGGGAATTCTAGGCAATTTTCGGGAACCTTTAACACATAAGCCTCTCAACTCTGTGAAACTCTGCAACTGTCAGCTCTGAGTGCCTCAGTTAAACCATCATAACGAATTTCTTAAACTATGTGGAGTATTTATAATCTAAATAAATCGTACCATGTACACGTCTCTAGAGATTACAAGTGGATGAAAAGAATGAAAAGCAGCTCTGTTGAATCCCTAGAGGATTGTCCAAGGAACACAACTTAAACCGCATATGGGACGCGCTCCTTTCCTACGTGGAGCTATAACCTGCAAATCATCACGTGATACGATGGTCTCTTCTGCTATCGTTGTACGCAACAGCATTTAGTATGGGATGGTAACGTTTTCATATATCGAACTAAAGGCCTACATAACTGAACCAACACCTCCATAAAGATACTTTTGCTCACTTCACTTGCCGCACGTTCATCGGAAACTCACCACGAGCTTCACTTACCATGGATCAGGAACTCCTCCACACACCCACAAAACCCTCTCATTGAAGCATGAAAATCAGCGCAGAAGGGACAATCGTTGTTCATAGTAAGGCACAGCCTCACACATGAAGCGCCCAAAGTATGCCAAAATAAAATCAACACAGTTAAAAAAGAAAGGTCACTTGACATGACTTGCGCCAAACCCAGAGCTTAGGACCAGAAATGGTGATTGGAAGAGATTAACGCCATTTGACAGGAGTTCAAGTGAATGCCATTCGTAGACTAAAGGTGATTGTAGTCCATACTGGTTATATTAGGTTGTAATTCAAAAAAAGAAAGTGCAAACCAATTCAAAGATGGTGCCCGAGGACTCTGCAGAGGCGGCGATTCCCTTCAACAAGTGAGCTTCAATCCCCCTACGCAGGAATGCCTAATGGTCCACAATCAAGAAATATATTTTCTGAAAGTCTCGGGGCGAAAGGCCCAAACCCGCTACAGTGGTTATCGCCCTAGCACGGCAGAGGCCCAAATACCTCCTTGACATCTCCTTAGGAGAGGAGAGAAGAATCAACGGTACAATGCACGAGCTCAGTAGTATTCGAAGCGAAGCTCAAGAATCACCGCTGCATCCTTCTGGTGCTACGTTTGCTTTGATACCTTCGCTGTGATCTACTCTGTTGAATAATGTAACACATACTAGTATGCTTAAGTTCACCTTTATAAAAAAGGGGCGGGAAATCAATAGCGTGAATCAAATGTGTGGGAAGCGTGAAATTTCCTTCCTAGTGGCTGCTATTTGCTTTTGCTGGCGCAAGTAGCTAGCCGAGTTTCGCGCCTTCTAGTAGCCTTAGTTCGTTTAGGTGTAAAGTTTTAACCTTCTATTTGCATCCACGGAGTATAGATTATTTTTGCTTTTCGTTGGCCCAGCATAATTTCTGTTTTCAGTGTGCACAAAAATCTAAAAATATTTAAATACACTTAGTGATTGTTTGGATTGATCAACTATCGATTAATGCTCCATTCATTTGTGTGAAAATTTGGTTTTATCTACTGTTACCAAGGTGCGTGCAGAGATCGTTGCTGAACGATTGTTCCTCTCCACTTTTCTGACCCATTTATGCCTTTAACCCTTCCTTATATCAGTTTTTTTAGGTACTCTATATAAATCATGGCATAAATATTTTGTGTGTCGAGATAGGGAGATTTTTGTTTGTTTGTACAACTAAGCAAAAGACTATAATTAGGATTATATTTAATGACAAGTCGTAACAATGCTTTTTAACGTCGGAGCTTATCAGTAACAGAGATTACACTAGCCATATCTTTATAACTATGCTTTTATCCTACACTACGCATTTTCTTCGGAGAAATGCGCTGCTATGCGCTTAAAATGTTGACCGATTTTGACTCGATATAAAGTGTGCGAACCTTCCTTTTTGCTGGATTCGTTTCGACCTTTTTATACTTGTGTATACTTTTATGTGTACTTCTTCAAATTGTTTTTAACTGTCGTTGTGCCTATTTTTAATCACCGTACGTGAGTCATGTCTGAGCTCTTTAGCTGATTTTTTATTAGTGCTCTAGCGAGTACACTTGTGATTTTTTGGCGTCTTACATGTCGTTTGTACTCGCTTACAAAGATTCTACGTTACTGT